TTATAGTAAATTTGAGAATTTGTGGTAAATCTCAGTTTGATTATTGTGTTGTTTGTTTGTTGTTGTTGTGGTCGATGGGAAATATTTCTAATGAAATTTAGTTAAATTTACGTATATTTTGTTGGTTGTTGTCAAAAATCTGTTATTAACTTTTCCCGGTATGTAATTTAAAAAAAAAATTAAAAAACGCAAAACAAAACAAATCGAAACGGAGGGAGGAGGGAGGGGAGGGGGAAAAGCGGAAATGAAAAATGATTTTTTTTTTTTAGGAATTCATTTACATTTCCGATTATTATTTAAATAAAAAATAAATAAATTTATTTAACTTTTGATAATGTGAATACAGTTCAAAATTTAAATGAATTTTTTTCCGATCTGTCATTTTTATCATACGTTTTTTTTTTTTTTTTAAAACGATTTGTTGCCTTTTTTTTTAAAAAAACGATTTGTTGCCTTTTTTTTAAAAAAACGATTTGTTGCCCTTTTTTTGTTTTTAAATTAAAAATAAAACTCACCTGTCGTAAATTTTTAATAATAAAAAAAATGTAGGATTTGTGTTACGTAAGGTTGTAAATTTTCACGTTGATACGAAAACGAAAAAAAATTATGATGATGATGATTATTATTATTATTATTATTATTATTATTATTATTATTATTATTATTATTATTATTATTATTATTATTATTATTATTATTATTATTATTATTTTTAAACTTTTGTGGGAGGATGATGAGAAAAAGTTAATCTACGGTTTAGAGGGCAAGACCTCACTCGTATGAGCGTTTAATTTGACCATTTCTCGTTTCAATTTTTTTTTTTTTTTAATTTTTTCTCCTCTCCCTCCTCCTCCTTCTCTCCTCCCTTCCATTCTCTTTACTCCTCCTTCATCCTCCCTCCCCCCGACCGGAAAAGTAAAAAACGTTCCAAATTAATTTTTTTTTTTTCATCCATTTTTTTCCCTTTTTTTTATTATGCATCGTCCAAGTTCGAATTTTAAGCTTCGAAAGTTCTTTTCATATCTTTTGTATACGAATATTAAAAAATTATTATTATTATTAAATTATTATTATTATTATTATTATTATTTTTATTATTTTTATTATCATTATTATTACTTTTTTTTTTTTAATAACAAGTTTAAAAAGAGAAATTTTTCACGGATGGACGAAAATTTTTTTTTTTTTTCTCGCTTTCCACATATATTCTTTCTTCCTTCTCTCCCATCCGTTCGGATTAAAATTATATATACGTTTTAATTAAAACGTTCGAATGAATGTGTAATAAAAGATTTCAAAATAATGATAATAATGATAATGATAATAATGATAATGATAATAATAATGATTCAATGACGAATTATTTTCTTTTTGGAAAAAAATAGTTTTTTTTTTTTGAAGTTTTTGGAGTTTTGACGTTTTTTAAAAATAAATTATTTCGGAATTAACGCGAAAAGATTAATATTATTATTATCATTATCATTATCATTATCATTATTATTATGTAAAGAAAGGCTTATTAGAATACAAGCATAATTTTTAAATGGAAAAGGTCGTCGTCATCGTCTTAGGTTCAGAAAGAGAAAAAAAAGTTTCTCCAAAATTATATTATGTAGTTTTAATGTCCTGTTTTTAATCGAAAAAGGACGGAAAAGGTTCATTTTCATGCATCCTTTTTTTTTCTTTTCATTCTTTCTTCTTTTCCTTCTTCCCCTTCTCCTCCCCGCCTTTTTACCCCTTTTTCTTCATCTTCTCTTCTCTTTGTTTTTATTTTATTTTACTTTTTTTTTTTTTTTTTTTTACTTTTCAATTCTTAAAATCCCTCCCGTTGAGTTCTTATTCTTTTATATGCAAACCTCAAAATTAAAATCGTAAATAATATTTTTGAAGAGTGAGAGAGAGAGAGAGAGGGAGAAGGGAAGAGATAGAAGGAGAGAGAGAGAAAGAGAAAGAGAAATAATGTTTTCCGGTGACATTAAATTCTAGGAAGAAATTATTACGGTTTTATTGCACCCGGAATGAAAAAAGATGAAAAATTCTCGTGTGTGGGTGTGCGTGTGCGTGTGTGATTTTTGCTACGAATAATAATAAAAAAAAACTTTTGCTCTAATCAATAAATGAAAATAATAATAATACTAATAAATGTCGTGCGAATTTTTTTTTTTTTTTTTTTTTAACGGTACGATACGCGGAAATATTCATTAATCCGTAACAAAAAAATTTTATGAATTTCATTTATTTTTATTTTTTTTATTTTTTATGAAAGAAAAAAGAGAGAGAGAGAGAGAGAAAAGACATTTAAAATTATTAATAAATTTATTATTATTATTATTATTATTATTATTATTATTATTTTTGTTGCTTTCTTTATTTTTTAAGGGAATTCAACGGAAGGTTTTTTTTTTGTTTTTTATTAATTTTAGTTAGAATTTAATAAAATATTTTATTCGTTACAATTTTAATAATGATAATGATAATAATAATTGCGACATTTTCCTTTTTAATAATAATAATAATAATCCATTGTTCCTCAGTAGGATTTTGAAAAGCAAAAAAAGTTTTATACCGTATATCGTCATGTGTATACATAAAAGAATTTTATGAAAACAAACGAAATTTAAAACTCTTAAATATCTTTTTAATAAAAAATTAATATGTTGTTATGAAAACGATTATCATTCGATGCGAAAATGTTGCGGCATTTAAAAAAAAAAAAAATCTTTACAAAATAAACAACAATTGGGAAAAAACTGCGCACGTGTGTTGCGATGTATGTTTGTTGTTGTCGTCGGTGAAAACAGTAGCGGAAAATATCTAATCAAAACTTTGTCGTCGTCGACGACCTGTCAGACAACAGGAGGGAAAAAGTAAAATCTGTCGTACAAGAAATGGGACGAACCGAATACGGTTTGTTTTCAATTTTGTTTAATTAATGACTCAGCTTATTGATAAGCACGCGCACACACGCACATACACATGCAGGAATGATAACCCTGATGTCCACTGTCACTCCGGCAACCCAGGTTTCCATTTACGTTTTTCCTTTTTTCCTTTTATCCTTTTTTTCTTTTTTAATTTTTTTTTTGTTTTCTTTCACTCCCACGTAAGACTTAAACTACAAAAAAATTTATTATTATTATTTTTTTCTACTTTTTAAACGATTTTTATTTTATTTCGAAAAGGAAAAAAAGGAAAAAAGGAAAAAAAACGCAATTAAGATTTAGTTTATTGTGGATAAAAAAAAAAAAGAAAAAAATTTTTTTTTCATTAAATTTATTAACTTTAATAAAAAAAAAAAAAAATTTTCTTTTCTCTTTCCATTTTATTTATTTTTATAGTAAAATACATAAACTATTATTTTGTTGCTACTATAAATAATTTTTTTTATTACTATTACTATTATTATTATTATTATTATTATTATTATTATTATAGGAAAAAAATAGTATTAAACGAACTATAAAAATAAAAAGGAAAAAAAAAACAGAAATTTTTTATTTTTTTTATTTTATTTTTTCGTTAACATGTTTACTCATTATTAAGTGCAAATATTGTTGATTTTACGATACTTTATTATTATTATTATTATTATAGAATTTGTGACGTTTTTTGTTGCTATTATTAAAACTATTCAATTGATTCGAACTACTAAATTCATTCAATTCATTTGACTTTTATTATTTCTCATAAAAATTTATCGTTTTACGTATTTTTAAACTTTTAATCTTTTTTTTTCCTTTTTTTCGGATTTTTTGTTTTTGAAAAAAAAATGTTTTTCCTTTTTTTTATTTATTTCAAGTTGTAAACTTGAAAAAAAAAGTCGCGTTATTAAATTTTTACTGTTGGTACCAATAAAAAAAAGAAGAAAATATATTTTTTTTTTAAATTTTATTCCTAAACGTTTCCACACACATATCCCGATTTAAAAAGTTAAAATAAAATGCGTTTGATGTATTTAAATTCAAAGAAAAAAAAGGAAAAATTTCTTTTATTCAATGATGGTTGCAGTGAGTCGGAATGGCGAATAGAGAGAGGGACGTAAAGAAGAATACTATGAAACTCTGATGCCAAACGCAGAGAGAGTGAGAGAGAGAGAATCTTTGATTTATATCGGTTAGCTTATCCTCGCAGCATTGGTATATCATCCCTTTTTTTTTTTTTTGTTTATCATACATACAGTATTTTGAAAAAAAAATATATATATATTTATACTTTTCAATCGTTAAACTCATCCTTTAAAGGCTCCCAGCTTTCTATTTTTTCTGCTGCTGCTGCCGCTACCGCCTTTTTCTCCCAACGTAATGAGATCATAATTCAGCCCTCCTACTGGCAAGAATCAACCGGGAAACTTTTAACGGCTTTTTATAACTTTTTTTTTTCCATCCCGTTCAATACATTTTTCTCTTTGTGTTTCCAATCAATTATTATACTTGTAAAATGATGAATGTTTGCGAAATGATTTTAAAAACAAGAAAAAAATGAATGATTGACGGTTAAAATTGGCACGAGGCGGTGACGGTGGCGGTTGTGGCGGCCATCATTTATTCGTGCAAATCTTTTTGAATGTAATTTTCAATTACAGGTTGTGTAAAATTGAATTTTTCAGGCTTCCGATCCCTCGAGGTTATCGATTGTGAGATTGGTTAAAGCCAATTTTTTTTTTTTTTTTATTGTTGGTATTTTTATCAATTTACCCAACACACATACCTACCAGTTTTTTTTTGTTTTGTTTGTTTCTTTGTTGTTGTTGTTTTTTTTGTTATTTAAACATTTGCTATCATTGTCTCCGGTTAAATATTGACCAGTCAACAATATTTTAATACAATAAAAAACAAGTGTCAACTTCTTCTTGTTTGGTCTCAAAAGACTAACAAACCCCGTCGTCGTCATCAATTTTTTTTTTTTTTTCCAAGTCTGCATTTGAAAAAGGACTTTATAATGATAAATGACTTTCGTTGTAAAATATTATTATTATTCTCATCATTAACCGATACTTATAAATGCAACCCCCTCAAAAAAATGCATTCATAATTAGGTTTTTATAATAATAGTTTACGAGAATGATTATTAACCTCACGGGGAGTTGAACGTTTGCTAAAACCGCAGGATAAAAACCTCAAATTAATGTTTTCGTTGTAAGGGTGAATTCTATATAATAATAATGATGATGATTTCAATCGTTTATCGATACTAATTTATCAATTTCGAGATGGAAGATACGTCATTCTCAGTATACTTGCTCACGATACTTAGAGTCGTCGTCGTATGAATGGAGGGGGGAAGGGGGTGTGTGTGTGTGTGTGTATAAAACATAAACAGCTGCATTCAACGTATATAAAAAATTCTATAATTTTATTTTTTTTTGTTTTAGATTTGAAAAAAAATTTCGAACAGTCACCGTATTCGGTCAACGTCGAAATGGAACATCAGACTCAACTTCGGTGTATACCACCACAGGGTATACCACCGCCAAAAGTTTACTGGTTAAAAAACGGTGCAGTTTTAGAACCGGATTCAAACATAATAATAAGCAGCGAAGGACATTTGATATTTAGCGAAGCTAGATTTCAAGATACCGCCAATTATACTTGCGTGGCAGAAAATTTAGCCAATAAAAGATTCAGCGATAGCGCATTGCTTAAAGTTATCGGTAAGTTTTTTTTTTTTGTTTTTTTCCACCCTTCCCTCTTACCCCCAAATTATTTTACTTTTGCATACATACATTAAATAATGACGTCACTTTTAATTCGACCAAAAAACCCAATTCAAATTTTAAAACAAAAATTATAATTTTTATTTATTTAAATAAGGTCGTGAATGTTTACTAAAAAAAAAAAAATTTGCAATTTCATTTAAAAAACAAAAGCACGTGCCAAAGAAAAATATTTGAAATTATTATTATTATTATTATTTATTCTTTCATTTTGCCCATTCACCTTTTATTTTTTTATTTTTATTTTTCCGGATGTGCGTATTTTCGGTTCAAAACAAAATATTTTGACATTTTTATTACGAATGTAACCATTTTTTTTTCCTCGTTCTTCCTTTCTTTTTTTTTTTTGCTGCAACGTCACGATTCTCTTTCGGTTTGTTGCTTTTGCGCGAAAGAATTACAACTTCCTTTATTTTTAAACCGGAACTTTGGCGTTTTTTTTGTTGTTATTTTATGTATATACACATCGTGCCAAAAATTATTTGACAAGTGGAAAAAAAAAAAAATTTGTTTGAATATCCGGAATTACTTTATCAAGGTAGAAAGAAAATTTCCACCCCTCCCTTCCTCCTCCCTCTCATCCCTCCCCGCTTTATAATTGTTTAATGGATTTATCATCATACCGCGTTTTGTCGATACGGGACAAAAGTTTTTTCAGGTCAGTCATTTTTTTTATATCGTAAGGTTAATATATAAAATAATCGGATTCTGTCGTGCTCCAACGGATTATATTTAACATCACGAAGTTTAATTTTTTTTGTTTGTTGTTTGCACTTGTCACATTTAAGAGAGAGAAAAAATAATGTTAAATAATTTTAAACAATGAATTAAATAAAAAAAACCTTTTTTTTGTTATGAATTAATGAATATAATAATATCAATGACGTTGACTTGTTTTACGCCCATAGAAATTTTTTTTTTTTGTTGGTGGTTAGGTGAATTAATTACATAAATAATAGAATAACTATTGTCAAAGGAGAGGAGAGAGAAACTATTAACGCGTAGATTTCAACCAAAAAGGATATACGGTTCATTTAATCAATAAGAATTTAATTCCGTTCCACGCAAAGGATTTCCTTTTTTTTTTTAAAAAAAAACTTAACGGCAGCTTTTATTATTATTATTATTATTATTATTATTATTTTCGTGGGGAGAACATAAAAAATTAAAAAAAAAGGGTTTCGAGTTAAAAAATAAATAAAAATTAAAAAAAATTCTAAAAGAAAAAAATAAATTCATAAAAAAGGCGTGGAAACAAAAGGAGAGAGAAAGTGAGAGAGAAGGGGAGAAAGAGTGGGAGAGAAAAGGAGAGAGAGAGAAAAATTTTTTTCATTAGATAAATACTAAATTGTTGAAGAAAATATTTTTAAGGGTGTGTGTGTGACGTTCTTCTTGTGTGTTGGTGGCTTTTTTCTCTCTTTCTGTCTCTCTCCTTCTTTTAAACGGTTCATTTGTTTTAAATATTTTTTTTTTGGGGGGAGGGGAGGAGGTTGAATTTTAAAAAAATTAATATAAATGAAAGAATACAAAATAAAATCGTTAGATATTAATAATTTTATTTAAATAATTTCGTGACGTAATGATTTGCTTTAGTTTTAAAAAAAAGAAAAGCTCTCTCTCTCTTTTTTTAAAATTAATTTTTTGTTTTTAACCTTTTATCGAACCTTTTATATAAAAAAAAATTTATCATAAAAAGGATTAGATTATTATCAAGTCAAGGGTTTGTTTGTTTGTTTGTTGGTTGTTTTTTTATTTATTTGCTTATTAATAATTTTCTTTTTTTCTGTCTTTTCCATTTTTCAATTAATTTTATTTATTAGTGTAATTAATGATTTTTTTTTTTTGGCATCGTCGCTTTTTATTTTCTTTATTTTTTATTTTTTTTATTTTTTACGAAAGGAGACGAAATGAAATAAAAAATGAGCATTCTCCCCCACCCCCTCCCCTTCCCCCTCTTTCTCTATCTTTCTCTTTCTGTTTTTAAAAACGAAGAGAAAAAAAAATTATTAATGACGACGGACCTGTTAAATTTTGTTTCCTCATAATTGCTCATGCATGATGAATTGTTGTTAAAATTTGAAAGTATAAAATTTTTTTAAAAAATTTTATCGTCTGCTATTTATTATTATTATCATAATCATAATCATCATCGTAATCGTTATTTTTATGAGCGGGTATTTAGTACGGTTGATTGTTCGTATTAAAAATATTTCGATACGACCGATACAAATTAAATATTATAATAAAAACCGCGGGTTATATTTGATATTATCGATGGGAAAAAATAATAATAATAATAATAATAACTTTCTTCATCTTTTTATATTCGAGTCGAGTCAATTATTATTATTATTATTTTTTAAAAAAGGAATTCGATCAAAGGAATTCGAAAATAATTTCTTTTTTTTTCCGAACGGGTTGTCGATGTAAATAATTAATTTGATAAGACAATGAAAGAAGTAAAAAAATTCCAGATTTTCTAAAATTAATTATTAAAGATACGCACGAACGCACGCACGTGCACGCGCACACACACCCGCACAAACATGTATTTAAAAAAAAGAAAGTCTCGGAAGTGCATTAACCGTTAAAAAAAAAAAAAATTGAAGCAGATGTAAAGGATGTAATTTTTAACACCTGCTCGATCGATGGTATAATAATTTTTTTTTTTTTTTTAACACTTTTCATTCACGAAAGTAAAAAAAAAACTTTGTCGTGATAATTTTAAATATTAAAATGTGATAAGGAAAAACTTTTTTTTTTGTTAACAGAGTTTTCCGGTGTGTATAAACGAAATTTTCTCACATAGAAAAAAAGGAGAGAAAGAAAGAAATAATAATGATATTTTATTTAATAAATTTTTAAACGTATCGATTTCCGGTTTTTTATTTATCCATTTTTTTTTTTTTAAATTGAAAATTTCTTTTTTATTTTAAAACAAAAAAGAATTAGGGAGGGAAAAGGGGGGAAGGGAGAGGAGAAAAAGCGGAGATTTTATTTAAAAATATAAAAATTTTTGTCAGACGGCATTAAATGGTAAAAAAAAAAAAATTTTCCTCAAACCTTTTTTCATAAACAATTTTAATAAAGTTGTTGAATATTTATGAGGGAGTCGTTGTGTGTAGGTTTTTATGTGAAACCCTCCAAGTCCTTTCTTTGCCTCACTAAATCAAACATATATCACGTCGGTGGAGGAATATTCTGGAAATAATACGAATATCGTTATGGGTGGACCGTTTCCTAAACGTAAAACAATCAGATTTTAACGTTAAAGTTACAAAAGTGAGGGGGAGATAGAGAGAGAGAAAGAGTGACACCCTCATTTCTCACTCTTTCTAAATTCTATTAAATTCCTTTTTTTCCTTTTTTCTTTTTGTCAAGTGGAAATTCAATTTCTAAAGCTCGAATGATAAGTTTTTTACTTTTTTTTATTTTGACGCAAAAGATAAGAGGAGGAAAACTCGGGGCATTCTAAAATAAATTTTTTAATATTTTAATACCGCAAAAAAAAGGTCAACCCGAAAAAAAATACCTTTTATCATCATCATTATCGTTTCCATTACACATATACGTATTTTAAAAAAAAACAGGTTTGTTGCCCCCTCACCCCACCCGTCTTTTTCCGCCCCCTGTAATTACATATCGGCGAAAATTTTTAATCGCCGTTTAATTTCTTATTCTTCAAAAAACATTAATAATAAATTATTTATTTATTTAAAACAAAAAACAAAATGTCGGAGTTTTTTTCCAATTTAATACGCTACGGTAATAAAAATTTCGTCTGCTTCTAAAATTCTCCATCGTAATAATTTATTCATTTGTATTACGTACGTTGTTTTGT